ATGGGGTCAGCATGGAGACTCCTGTAAGTCTCGGGCTGCATCACACCGGCCGCCACTGCAGGGTCACGTGAGGGAGGATGTGGCTGAGCCGAGGCTGGCGAACCTGAAAGCCTTGATCTTAGTGAGCGCTGTGTTCCTTCTGCCCCAGGGACACCCACATGTGGGCAGGGAATTGCATCTCTTGCTCAAGGAAACCCAGACAGTGCCAGGTGGTCATCCCGAGGGACCACCTCAGAGGGTAGGGAATCCCTAGCAGGAGAATAATTTCTCTTCATTATTTAATTAAAGCTTTTATTTATTTATTTGAAAGGCAGAGTACAGAGAGAGACATCTTCCATCTGCTAGTTCGCTCCCCAAACGGCCACGACGGCCAGAGCTGGGCCAATTCGAAGCCAGGACCCAGGTACTTCTGGGTCTCTCACGTGGGGAAGAGAGGGCCAAGCATTTGGATCATCCACTTCTGCCTTCCCAGGCATATCAGCAGGGAACTGGATGAGAAGTGGAGCAGCCAGGACTTGAACCAGTGCCCACATGGGATGTGAGTGCCCCAGGCAGTGGCTTAACCCACTACACCACAGCACTGGCCCCAAATCATTCTCTTTAAACATAACAACTATTTTCATTTTATTTGAAAAGAAGAATGACAGGGACAGAGAGTAAGACAGGGATCTGCCATCTGAGGGTTCACTTCCCAAATGCCTACTATAGCCAAGACTGGGCCAGGCCAAAGCCACGTGGGTGCCAAGGACCCAAGTGCTGCAGCCTCTCCAAGCGCACATTAGCGGGAAGGAGGATGGGAACTGGGGCAGCTCAGATTTGAACCAGGCGCTCTGATATGGGATGCGGGCATCCCAAGCAGCAACGTAACCGCTGCTGCAGAATGCCTGCCTCGAAACAGTAATTTCTTGAGTCTCCTGTCTGTTTCAGGCCCAGTGCTAGGTCAGCACTTAGCTGAATCTTCCTTACAGTCACTCTTTTTTTTTTTTTTTTGACAGGCAGAGTGGACAGTGAGAGAGACAGAGAGAAAGGTCTTCCTTTGCCGTTGGTTCACCCTCCAATGGCCGCCGCGGCCGGCGCGCTGCGGCCGGCGCGCTGCGGCCGGCGCACCGCGCTGATCCGATGGCAGGAGCCAGGAGCCAGGTGCTTTTCCTGGTCTCCCATGGGGTGCAGGGCCCAAGCACTTGGGCCATCCTCCACTGCACTCCCGGGCCACAGCAGAGAGCTGGCCTGGAAGAGGGGCAACCGGGACAGAATCCAGCGCCCCGACCAGGACTAGAACCCGGTGTGCCGGCGCCACTAGGCGGAGGATTAGCCTAGTGAGCCGCGGCGCCGGCCACAGTCACTCTTAATGATGGCCCTTGTCTCAGTTTCCTGGGGCTGCTGTAACCAAGTTCCACAAACTGGTGGACTAAACAGCAGGAATGTATCCTCCCAGAGCCCTGGAGCTGGGAGCCCAGAGTCAAGCTGCCGCCAGGGCCGTGCACTCTAAGGCTCTGAGGGAGACTCCGCTCCAGGCTCTGCTCCGGCCTCTGCCTCTGTGGTCACCAGGCAGTCTCTCTGCATCTCTTTCTGAGATTGTCTTCTTATAAGGACCCCAGGAATATTGGATGCAGCCGGCTTTACTCCAGGTTGGCTTGACAACTGAATTCTACCTGCAGTGCCTCTGTCCTCAAATAAGCTTGCACTGTGAGCTCTTGAGGGGGTTACAACAGCAGCCTCTCTTTGATTTTTTTAGGGAGAGGGAAGACAAAATCCAATTCTCACCAGCCCTAGCAGACCTTCTGTTCCCACTCTTCAGGTGCGAGAACTGTACCTCCGAGGGCTGGAGTCATCTTTCAAGGCCTCTGCAGGGTCATGTGTGGGATTCGAACCCAGATCTGGTTTACTGGAGTACATTGTGAGGCTGTGTGCTGTGAATCCATTCACACACAATAAATAAGAGCCATACAAATTAGTTCGTGTTTAGCCACCCTTTTAACAACTGCCTTTGCCAAAGAGAACAAAATTTCATGAAAAGATTAATTGGAGCAAAAGATACAGGGAGAGGAAAGGGGAAGAAAGAGAGAAGCAACACACCCCCCACGAGAGCTCTCTCGGAGGCTGGTGTCTGTGCTGAGATAAATAGCCCAGCCCGGGCATCGTGCTATCTCAGCAGTCTTGGAACAACTGCAGAGATGAGCTGATAGATGGTGCACACGCAGCCATTAATCCACCCTCAAGTGGCCTGTGATTCTGTCCCTTTTGCATACCTGACCTCCCCCTCGTATCTGAGAGATTCTGTCACCGCAGCAGGATTGAAGGTGTGGCCCCGGGGACAGTGGCTGAAGAGGGTCGTGGCTGGCACCACACCAATGAGCTCAGCAGGGTCACCAAACCCCAAGGATGGTGACCATGGTTGTGTTGGCTGCAGCCGATGCTGCTGGTCCATGGGCAGGGGGTCAGATGTCACCCAGGAGGCAGAGGAAACTGACTCAGAGTTCTTCTCTTGACCCACAGATCTCAGTCCATGGGTCAGGCCCTGGGATGTAACACGCCCAGGTTCTCCAAGGCATTGATGAAGAGTCATCTTCCTCTCCCTCCTGTGGGAAGAGAAGGAAACAGGTCTTTGCGCACCTGTTGTATGAGGCATGTCAGCCTGCTGCTCGCCTGCCTGGCCTGGCAGAGGATGAGGGACGGGGAACATGGGCCTATAGTCAAACCCCAGTTCTTCTCCCAGGAGACCCCCCCTCTTCCCGTGCCCCAGTAGGACAAGTCTCTCTGGAGCCAGCATGCGCACGTGGGAGGGGCAGCTTTGGAATAGACAGGCTTGGGCTTGGATCTGTTCCGAGCCGCTCACTGCTGTGTGGACTCAGGCAAGTTACTAAGCCCTAGTATCAGCATCTCAGTGCCCCGCTGATGGCAAGGGACAGAAATCCAACCTAAACCAGCTGAAGCTAAAGAAGAAGAGACACTGTATCATGTCCCCAAACTACAGACAGGGCTGTGGCAGGCTGGACTGTTTGAGCGACTGATGTGTGGCTGACTTGAACACTCTGCGTCAGCCTGTGTGTTCTCTCAGATGGACTGACATAGATGCACGGACTCCGGCTCTGGGCTTACATAATGCCTTCATCAGAGCTGGTAGAGGCAGATTGCTTTCTCCCACCTGTAACCTATAAGAATCTGACAAACGGGCCCTGGCCCTTCCCTGGAGCCAGCACTGTGGCTGCTGGCAAGGGCCCTTTGATGGGCTCTGTCAGGGTCTGCGGTCAGGGCAGGTAAGGCCTGCTAATAGAAGAAGAAGACAGGGTGTTTGGGAAGCAAACAGTACCCACTACAGTCCAGCCCCTCACAGCGCATGTGGAGATGTACCTGCACACGTGCCATCTTTTTTTTTTTTTTTTTTGGACAGGCAGAGTGGACAGTGAGAGAGAGAGAGACAGAGAGAAAGGTCTTCCTTTGCCGTTGGTTCACCCTCCAATGGCTGCCGCGGCCAGCGCGCTGTAGCCGGCACACCGCACTGATCTGATGGCAGGAGCCAGGTGCTTCTCCTGATGTCCCATGGGGTGCAGGGCCCAAGTACTTGGGCCATCCTCCACTGCACTCCCAGCCACAGCAGAGAGCTGGCCTGGAAGAGGGGCAACCGGGACAGAATCCAGCGCCCCGACTGGGACTAGAACCTGGTGTGCCGGCGCCGCAAGGTGAAGGATTAGCCTAGTGAGCTGCGGCGCCGGCCGCACATGTGCCATCTTAGTCTCGTTAGTGCATCCTTAGGCGTGCAATCCCCTAGGGAACTACTGAGCTGAGGTTTGTTTGAAGCCTTTGCCAACAAAGCCTGTGAATGTGTGGACAGCACCCACGCCCCGAGTCCAGTCTGTGATAGGAGGTGCATACTTTGCTGAGTCTCAGGTAGACCATTTGTCCTTTCTGAGCCTCTGATCAATCACCTAAGAGATGAGTGAAGATTCCCGTGGAGCATGGCAAAGATCCCGCAATTCAAGAAGCCAGTGGTTCAGAATGGGGGGCTCTGGAGCTAGGCTGCTTGGGTCCCGGCTCCACCAGTATGAGCTGTGTTACCTTGAGGAAGCGACTCAGCCTCTCTGGGCCCCAAGGTCCCCTTCTGTAAAGATAGGGGATCATATTTTCACAGGGTCATCGTAAGGATTCGAGGAGACAGTGGGGTCAAGCAGTTGCCGGGGTGCATGTCTAGATAATAATGCTTTTAGGAACATGTGGGAAAAGACTTTATAAGCCATAAAATGCTGTCTTTCCGTGGAAGAGTTAACTACTCATCATGAATTACAGGAAAATGTTCACACTTTAGGAAAACTAAGTGTGTGGTTTATAATTAGGTGGTTGTTTGACATCATTGAAAATCGTCCTTGGGGTGGAAGCATTCGCCTTGGCCCACAGTAAAGGCAAACTGTAAATCATGGCGCACAGCCCTGTCAGTGGCCAGCTTCTTCCTCCAAGACGCTAGCAACACTTACGCAACCATTCTGTTTAGACCTCACTGGGTTGGTATTTTCAGCCCCACTACAGACAAATCCAGGCCTCTCCGAGATCAACTTGGCTAAACTCAGTGGGCAGGAAGGAACTGGAGTGGAATGAGGGCCTGGACCTTGAGATAGCCAAGTCTGGTGCACTTTCCAAGGAAAAAAGAAGCATTTGGAGGCAGCTTGCGGAAGCAGCAGCTGCTGTGACGTGTCAAGGCCTCCAGAGCTCTCCCAGTAGGGTCTCATCCTAGAGAAACGGGGCTCTGCTTGTGGCTTAGGGAGAGGCCTGGCCTGGGTTCCCAGCTGCCCAGCTGTCAGCAGGAGAGCCAAGGGACTTGGCTGGATCCCTGTCCCTAGAAGGGTCCCCCCTCCTTGGGTGGCCTCCGCTGCTCTGATTGACCCAGACTCTGCCCAGGCACCTGAGTTTCAGTCTCTCTTGTTTCTGTCCAGAGGAAGGAATGGATAGCAAAATGTCAACAAAGCTACACAGCCACCCAACACCTGACTTTTCTTCTTTCCCCAAAGCCAAGTACATCGGCTGTTACCTGGACAACACCCAGAGCCGGGCCCTGCGAGGCGTGTCCTTTTTTGACTACAAAAAGATGACCATCTTCCGTTGCCAGGACAACTGTGCTGAGCGGTAGGACCCGGACGTCTCCTTCGTTTCAGGCCCCTTCCTGCTCAGGTTCCTTGCTGTGGGAGGGTACACAGGGAAGCGAACTCATGACCACAAGAGTGACAGGAGGGTGTGTGTGCGATGCAAGGGTGTGCACAGGAGTGAGCAGGACTGTTTGAGAGTTGGTCTGCTGGAGTTTGTGGCCGCACACCTGTGCGTTTTAAGTGTAAGGTTTGCAAGGTCAGCTGGTTACGTGTGTGAGCTTCATGCTGCTGTGTATTTGTCTTTAAATAGCAGTGGCTGTTGTGCAGGCGTCTAGTGCATTTGTGTGCAGGGGCCCAGCACCATGCGTGTAGTATCTGGTTGCATTGCTGAATGTGCAACACTGTGTTGACGGCATGGGAGCTTGTGAGGAGTTGCACACCGCTTGGCAGCACACAATTGCGTGTACATGTAAGTGAGCACCTACAAGCTCATGTGAGGCTCATGCAATGTCTGTGTGAGGGGAGGTGGGGCTTGGGTATTGGGGGCATCAGTAGTGGCTCAGCGTAGAAATACTTTGTTTTCCTCTCACTCACTCCTTTACACAGTGTTTGCCAATCTAAGAAGATGATTTTTTAAAAATTAGAATATGCACTGGGCAGGGACTTGACTTTCCAAGTATGGGCAGGTCCCCAAAGGGCTAGTGAGCAGGGACAGGGCCCTGGGGCCACTGTAGGCTGAGCTGACCTGCTGCTCCCCTTGCCTGGGTCTCCTGATCTCATGCCTTGAATCCACTGAGCTCTTCAGTCCAGCTGGCTGGCTCTGATGGCCACAAGCTCTGCCCACTCAGCTGCATGGCTGCAGTGGGGGGGGGGGGCATCAAGGGACTCTTGCCCCTGTCCCCTTTGTTATCATCTGCCCTGGGAATTCACCATTAAAGGCCAGAGACCAGGGCACTCTCCAGCGTGGGAAGGACTCCAGGTCCCTGGTGATAAGGAGTCACCCACTTCTTTGTCAAAGAGGGGAGCCAGAGAAGCTTTCCACACAGCCACTGCCCTCATGGTGCTCACAGCCTAGAGGGGAGACAAAGCAAGTGACCAGAAAGGGGCCCGGCAGTGAGCGAAGGACTTGCAGGTCCCGTAACCTGCGGAGGCGTCAGCGAGGGGAAGCCAAGATGAGTCAGAGCTCCTCGGACAGTTCTGTTCCTGCAGCAGATTTCTGCTGGCTGCCTACCTGGGCCGGACCAGCGCCAGGTGCTGGAGACGCAGAGCCCCGCCTTCAGGGAGCTCCACCTCTACTTGGGGAAACAGAGGCATGGCCAGGCGGTGCCAATGGAAGAGCCACAGCCTGCACTTAGTGCTCACCATGTGCGAGGCCCTGTCCTGAGTGCCAGGCAAATGTAAATTCTCTAATTCACAAGGGCCCTGCGAGGCGGGGATGCAATGAACAGTAGATGAGGAAGCCAAGCCAGAGAGGTACCACACAGGTGTGGGGGAGTCGTGAAGGTGGGCTGGGGAGTGCCCCCTTGCCCCTGTGCAGGAGGCTCCCTGTGGTTCTGGGGAGCCAGTCAGGGGGGCCTCTGGGTGAAGGGGCTTCGCAGGGCCTGCCCTACCCCACCCCCAGCCCGCTTTCTCCGTATTCCTCGTCCCCAGCCCCAGAGCCGGAGCAAGCAATGCCCTTTCCGTTTGTTTACAGAGTGGGGTCCGCTGAGAGTCCTTTTAAGGGAAGGATTCCATGGCTCTGAGAAAGGAACCACAAGCCTTGCAGGGCCTGGATTTCTTTTTTCATTTTAGGAGAAGGAATTTTTTACTTGGCTGGGTCTGTGAGCCCGGTTTTGCCATCTTCCGGAGATGAGAGCCACCCCACCCCTCCTCACCACGCCCCAGCTCCCCTCAAGGGGCACAGAGGCATCATTCCTGGGCGATGTTTCCCAGAAAAATAGGGCTGGGCTCTGGAGGGATGAAAGCCTCCAGTCTCCAGACAGGGAGGGGCAGAATCTGGGGGGTGACGAGTGTATCCTGTGGTGCCGGTGTGAGCAGGTGCGTGTGAGTGCGGACCTGGTGTGTCTATGTGGAGGTGTGGAAGGGAGAGTAGACTGCAGGCAGGGATGAAGGCAGCTGAGAATCCCTGCCCCTTCCCTGGGGCTCCCCATCCCCAAGGATCACCCCGAATTCCTTCTTGGCTTCCCTGCCTCCACGTCTCCCACTAAGGCTGTCCAACTCAGCCTCTCGGACTCCTCTTGGGGTCTTCGCATCTCCAGATCCTACCAGTGTGCCCTGGAACATGCTCATCTCCAGGCCTCCTGGGTGCCCTGGCCCCCTTCAGGGTCTCCTCATTTCCTTGGGGTACCCCTGTCTCCGGAGGGCCCCGTCTCTACTTGGCATGGCTCTCCTGTCCCCTGAAACTCCCTATCACCCTTACCTCTCATCTTGGATCTCCCCACATTGAGGCTCCCTGTCCCTGGGGTCTCCATGGCGTCTGCTGCCCTGCCTGACTGCTGTCTCCCCCAGGGGCTACCTGTACGCCGGGCTGGAGTTCGGCGCCGAGTGCTACTGCGGCCACAAGATCCAGGCGGCGAACGTGACCGAGGCCGAGTGCGACATGGAATGCAAGGGCGAGCGGGGCCGCGTGTGCGGCGGGGCCAACCGCCTCTCGGTCTACCGGCTGCAGCTGGCCCAGGAGTCAGCCCGCAGGTGTACGTGAGTCAACCCTGCCCCTCTTGGCTGCTCCTCCCTCACCTGCAACCCTCACCTACCCTTCCCAACAGTCCCCCGCATCACTCCAAGTCCACCGCAACCTTGTCCCCGCTTTGCCGCCTACCCCATGCCCCACAAACTGCGAACCTTCTCACCTGGCCTCCTCTCCTCCTGCCTCCATGCCAGCTGTGCCCCTCATTCTCGCCTGTCTTCCACACTCAAGCAAGCTGGAGGTGGGGCTTGTCTCTCCCGATTTCCCCAGCATGCTTAGTCTCCAGGCCATCACAGTGATGAACCACAGCAGTGACAACGGTGACACAAGCAACTGCACACATTGGATGGTGCGTGTCAGCTCCATGGTGACTGGTGACATAGGCACTGCTGTTCACCTGTTCCCATTTTACAGATGAGGAAACTGAGTCTCACTATCACATAACTTGCAAGCAGTGGAGGTCACCTGACTCGTGCAGAGCAGAGACAGGCACGGAAATCCATGACGACATCTGTAGCTCTTTTTTTTTTTTTTTTTTATTTGACAGGCAGAGTGGACAGTGAGAGAGACAGAGAGAGACAGAGGGAAAGGTCTTCCTTTTGCCGTTGTTTCACCCTCCAATGGCCACCGCGGCCGGTGCACCGCACTGATCCGATGGCAGGAGCCAGGTACTTATCCTGGTCTCCCATGGGGTGCAGGGCCCAAGGACCTGGGCCATCCTCCACTGCACTCCCTGGCCACAGCAGAGAACTGGCCTGGAGAGGGGCAACTGGGACAGAATCCGGCGTCCCGACCGGGACTAGAACCTGGTGTGCCGGCGCCGCAAGGCGGAGGATTAGCCTAGTGAGCCACGGCGCCAGCCACATTGTAGCTTTTTGATCTTAACTTCCCTAACTGGAATGAGCCTAGGATTCCACACACCCCTCACCCGCCCTCTGCCCCACTCCAGATCTTCTTAAAAATGCAGATCCTGCCTCAGCAAGTCTGTGCGATGCTGCATTTCTCAGGCGCTCCCGGGGGCCGCTGGGCTGCTGACCACACTGTGAATAATGAGGCCCCAGACCTCCGTGGATTTTTCCCAGAATGTGGCCCTTGCAAAAAGGCCTCTTTCACATGAAGTTCGTTGCTGGTTTGCTTGATAATGTGTTCAGTGTTTCAAATCCCGTCAGAAAGCTACTTTATTTGAAAGGGAGAGGGAGAAACAGACTGACAGAGCTCCCATCCGCTGGTTCTCGACCCCAGTGCCCGCAACAGCTCTGGCTGGAACAGGCTGAAGCCAGGAGCTGGGATCTCAGGCTGGCTCTCCCACGTGGGTTGCAGGGATCCAAGCACCTCAGCCGTCACCTGCTGCCTCCCAGGCTGCGTATCAGCAGGAAGCTGGAATTGAGGACAGAGATGGGACTCAGACCCAGGCGCTCAGATAGGGGATGTGGGAGTCCCAGCTGGCATATTAAGCATTGTTTCACATGCCTACCCCGTCACATCTCATATTTCGGAAGCTCTCTTCAAGCTTTGCTCCACAATAGGGCCAAGTGTGCCACCCATTTTTCAAAATGATTTCCACAAATGGGTGTTTCCATATACCCCCACCAGCACCACACACACACACACAGCTGCCACAGTTCAGGTCTAAAGGCTTGGCTGGCAGAGTCAAAGATGGGTCGTCTAACCCAGGCTGGAGAATGTTCACCCAGTAGGCTTCTGGTTTGGCTGTTGGTGGCATGAGCTTTTAACTTGGAGGCAGCTTTGTCATCCTCACAACCCACCCTTTCCGTGCCAATATTTGTTACTTTGATGGTGACACTTGGACCATCCAAGCCGCTTCCAGGAAAACATCCTCGTGCCAGAGGCTGAGATAGATAACAAGGAACAGGTTGTGTACGTGTCATCCAGACAGGGCCTAGGCCTCTTTTTAGTTCAAGTTCAGGTTGGCTGGGTAATGTGATCTCTCTTTCTCTTTCTCTCTCTCAACGCGCATGCACTCACTGTTGTGAGCACCTGATATCCCAACATTTTCCTGGACCGTCAAAGCTGAAACATACAAGCCACAGCAGACAGGGATCACTAGAATCTGCTATGATGAGGTGTGTTCCGCACCTGTGGCAGTGGGGGGCCTGGGTGGTTGCTGGGGGCAGTTCCCGAGCCTGCCAGGACATTTCCCCAGCTGTGTGCCATCTGAGAAGAGCATCTTTGTCCTGGGTTCTCTGAGCCCACCCCAGTCCCTCTGCATAATCCTGAATAGGGTTTGAAGGTGGGGCACCTTCAGCTGGAGACTCTTTAAGAACACATCAGCCTTGCTCACCTCGAGGCTACTGTGGCTGAGCGTATCACAGGAGACAGATGGGCAGCAGTATATCGGATTGGGTCTTCTGGTGAGCTCCCAGTTGGCAGTATGGTGGTGCAGAAAAAGCACCAGGACCACTCATGAACCAGAACACTCAGTGGGCTCCTCTGTGGACTGGGTACAGAGAGGTGCAGTGGGAAGGAAGGCACCGACCCAGTCCCCTGTGGGCTCATCATCTAGTGGGGGACTGGTTTAACCACAGAGGGCACAAGCGGAAGACTGCACAGGCTCCATCTGCAGGACCCAAGGAGCAGCACCTGAGCTGACTCATTCGCAGGAGTCCCGGGGTGAAAGGGAGAGCCATGAGCAGAAGTCCAGGGCAGCAGTGGTCGTGTGTTGGGAGTCGTGTTGGAATCACCTTTCTCACTCATATCCACATTTTACACTTGTAAAAACGGTGGCCTACAGTGCAGAACTGGAAAATGGAATGGGCTGGAGTAGGGGCATTTCACTGGGGCCTTGGAAGATGCCTAGGATTTTGCCCAGTGGAGAAGGGAAGGAAACACTGACCCAAGACAAGTCACTATGGAGCAGGGGAGAAGACCACAGGGTCTCTTAGGGACTGAACTTGGGTTGGAACCCTGGTCTCGGACCCTGGTTTGTAGACACCCTGACCTCTTGTACTGGATTTAGGACTCTGTCTTCTCTCTTTTGGGGAAACATTGAGCTCCAGCTCAACTCCTCTAAGAAATATGGAATCTCAGCATCTTTGTCTTGACTCAGTGGCCCCTTAGCTTCCTATGCCTCTATATTCTTTATACGCAAGTAAATCAGAGAGGGACATCTTCCCTGTCACTGGCACACACCCCCTAAAGTGTGTTACAGCAGGCAGGGAAATGAGCAAACGCTCCAGGAAACAGATCTGGGGGAACCAGACTCCCTCTGTGGAGTCATTAGGTGGTACAAACACTGGTCTAATTGGGTTACCTTGAGCTGTGGCACTGGACACAACTTAGTGGTTGCAGAGAGCTGAAGGAAACTCATTATGTCCTGAGCACACGTGTGTGTGTGTGTGTGTGTGTGTGTGTGTGTGTGTGATGGGAGGAGGAGGAGACCAGGTTTGCATGGGAAGCCAGCATGTGTTTCTGGGGGGATGGAATCTTCCTGTGGTAGCAAGAGCACTGAAAGGTTTGACAGACACATGTGTGCAGGTGCCCTGCTCTTCTGCCTGGACCCAGATTCTTGGGCTTGAGAACTCTTTTGCCCTTGTTACAAAATGTCCAAGAAATGGACTTTCTCTGTGGCATTACATCTTGCATAGATAGCAGTTAGCTAAACGTGTTGGCAAGTAAAGCTCTCCTCCCAGGGGCGAGACTCACTAGGTGATTAAAGAGCAGGATGGTTTTGCAGGATGTTGTAAGGAATTTCCTTTGCCTGAAGGATGCTCTCAGGATTTGTGCTGCAAAGTTCATTAGACAGGGAGCTCAGCAGGGCCGGCCCTTGGGGGTGTGTGGCTGTCCATGGTGCTGACCTTCCTTTGGCACTGGCTGGAACCCTGCAACGGCAAACCAGCTTCTCCAAGGGCTACACTGGGTTTTCCTTTTGTCCCCCCTGCCCTCAACACGCACTTTAATGAGGTTTACATAGGCACTGAAAAGATAGATCCCGACTTACAGTTCACAACCTACATGGCAGATGCCTGCACTGTTGTTAGTTCTGGCAGGTGCTTTGTCTTATAAAGTCAGGAGAATACTGTGCCATGCTTGTGCCTCGTGCTCATGGACTATTCCAGCAGCTTCTGGGAATCAGGGAAAGTTACATCTCCTTGGTGGAGCATGTTTAGTTTTCTTGCCAGGCCTGGAGGCTTCTACTTCCTCTTGGAAAGACATGTGTTTGTGTCTTCAGGTGTTCCCCTGTGTAGGGCAAAGGAGGGAAGTGATAGAATTTTTTCTCCTTGTGCACAGTGAGCAGGGGAAATTGATTTTCTCTTATTCCCTAATAAGCAAAATCCAGGGAGTCAGGGAACCCCTTTGGGTGATGCAGGTTTTGGAATCAGCAGGCGTTATTCCTAATCCAGCTCTCTCATCTACTTGCTGTGTTGACTTTGGCCAAGCTATTGAATCTCTGTAAGCCTTGAGTGCCTCATCTGTAACATGGGGACAGTTCCAACCTGTACAATTGATATGAACCTAAAATGAGATAAAGTCTAGACACAGTGTGTCTAGCATGGTGCCCCCTCTTCCTAATGAAGACTCCCCCAGTTCACTGTGAGAAGCACCCAATTCGAGCTATTTGAATTTCTAACAGCCTGCAGGAGCCTTTGGTAGTGTCTAAAAATAGCTGGTTTGAATTCTCCTCGGACACTTAGGCTCTTTGTGCCATCCAATCTCTCTCTGATTATCGGTAGCTAGGTAGCCGTGAGCAGCTCCCAGCTCACTGCCGTTCCTCCTCGCCAGCGTCTTTAATACAGTAGAACCTGGCCTAATTACCCAGGGGGTGGTGGCCTCTTTCAAACCATGGAGAACTCTTCCATGCCTGCCTCTAAGCTGATGCCTGGTGACATTTGCCTCGTTTTTCTTTTTTTGTGAAGCCCCAGAACAAAGAGATGACAGGACTTCAGACACTTGCAGCTGGTTCCGGGCTGTTCTTCGTCTGCCCCCAGCCAAGGGAGCTGATGAATGGCTGCTCTGCCCGCCTCTTGCTAGTAAAAGACCCAAGCTGCT